ATATGTGGGAATGCGATAGTGAAAATTAGTGTTAGATTATATCGAAATGGCGCGCGGCGCGCGGTTTTTTTTCGTGTATAGCTATCGTAGTACGATAGGAAGCTGGTATTTTTGAAATTCGTTCGAGACCAGCTATCAGTTTCCAGTTATAAATCAAGAAAGAAAACAATAGGGAAAAGTGATAGGAAAAAGTAGTGAAATTTTCAATGTCGCATTTCCAAAGGGGGATTTATGAAGATTAACCGATGTTTCATTTTACGAGTCAACTCCATTCCCAGGAATATACTGACTGACGTCAAGACCGGGACCATTCCATAGGGACCCGTGACCTTAGTAGTCTAATCTTTCTTTTTAGTAGTATCTGTGAATAGAAGGTCAATAATTGGTCGACCTCTGCTACAGGGCGGGTCATGAGGAACCGCTGTTGCTTTACAATTGGTCCTTCGTTGTCGGATTGACGTCGAGCGACCGACTGTTGCTTTTCAATTGTACTTTTGCAGCCGGATCAAGAAGCCAGCCGAAGGACCAGTCAGCATATGAGGTCTGCCGGTCCTGTTGCAGGACCGGAAGAAAAAGACGACCAGGCCAGCATAGGAGACCTGCCGGTTCTGATGCAGGACCGGAAGAAGATGCTGACAACCAGGCCAGCATAGAAGGCCTGTGGAAACTAGATAGCCGCCGGGAGAAAGAAACTGGGATTGCTGCCGGGCTCGAGTGCTTGTATGAGGCATTCACTGCTGCCGTTCGCGAGTGTTTGTGTAAGGCACTCACTGGGACCAAGCAAGGGGCTTGACATTTGTCCTGCCGACCAAGTGTACTCGGCATTCCTGTCGCTGGGCAAGTGTGCTTGGCATTCCTGCTGCCAGGCAAAGGGCTTGGCATTTATTCATCCCAGGAAGTGTGCTCGGTATTTGCTGTCGCTAGGCGAGGCTGCTTGCGGAAGGCACTCACTGCTGCTGCCGGGCGAGGGTGCTTACGGAAGGCACTCAGTGCTACCGGGCGAGGGTGCTTGTGGAAGGCACCAGACTACGTTGCGGCCGAGAGAGAGCGCCTGGGCAAGGTGTCACCGGCGACAGCATACCAAGCGACGACACCCAACGGTGCTAAAGTCAGAGCTTGGGTTTTAACACGTTTCGAAGTGGCACAGATCTTTACGAGCAAGACTGCTTTGCACAGGTCGTCTACGCCGTTATATCGTGCGTGTTGCAGGGGCCTTTGAGTAGGCAAGCTGAGGGGTGAATATAATTTCCCCTGCAACCTGAGTGACCTGTGATACATCACGTCCACTGACGGGGAGTACCCAACCTTTTCCTTTCCTACACGAGTCCATTCTTGGGCGGTTCACCGCGCAGTTCTTTTCGGGCGCACATTTGAAGATCATCCACCTAGGTTATTTACGGAGCGGCATTTGACAGGCCAAACTGCTCAGAAATTAGCCGAACATTTTTGGACGAGATGGTTGAAGGAGTACATGCCTACTCGAACATCGATACCTCGAACAGGCGATAACGGAAGGTTTTTAGAACCGAAAGTGGGCGACGTTGTCTTAATAATAGATCATTAATTACCACGTAATACATGGCCGCGAAGCAAGATCCATAGGACTTTAACAGGAAAAGACGGTCACACTAGGGTGGTTGACGTCGTTACTAACTCAGGTAGCTTAAGTTCGGGGTTCGATTACCCGGCTGGAAGCTAATTTCACAAAAATTGTTTTATTAATAAACTTAAATAATTCCGTGATTAAAAATTACATATGAAAGGTAACGTAACATGACAGATCTCTTTTTGCAGCAAAGAACTAAACAATTCGGCATCTTTCTAGGACGTCGATTCAGCCGTGCAACTAGATTTAGGCTAGTGAGCAGTGCAGCTGCAACTGTTTTATTGTACGCGTAGGACCACGTAGAGTCCCCTCCGGTCCGCCGGTCGCCTGTGTTACTCTATGATTGACACAGACCAAATGATAAGGTAAATGAAATGGTTCGATTTTTTTTAAACACCAAGCAATTAATAAACTCAAATTAGGATAATTGATGTAACACTTCGCTTTTTTTATAAATTAATCATCCAAGTTTTTTTAAACATCACCATTATCATTATATCCCATTATACACAGAAATTTAGATAGTAGGAAGAGCTGCGAAGAAATCGTCACTTGTGTCGGTTCTAAGGACGTAGAAGCGTAGGGTAGTACGAGATCTCTTTGCCACGCTCAAAGTGACAGGAATGAGGGCATCTACGACTTTTTCTGCCACCAGGGCGGCACCACTAGAAAGTGAGTTATAATATTTGAGAGATTTCATAGCGGGGAAGTTAAATTGTTCGGAAAATGTAAAAGTTATTGTTTGTTTTTGAACTATTAGCTATATTTTATATTAATAAGATTCAAAATAATCAAACCAAACCACGGATATTCATAAAAGTAGAAAAATCAAAAAAAAAAGTTAAAAATGTGCAAAAAATTAAAGAGCAAACCACTCATGCATTGTTTTGTGTATTAATATAATACTCTAGAAACTGAAACTTTTATTTAAAAAACAACTTCTCAATTAAATAACTGTGTAACAAAAACTTTACCTCACTGTCAACTAGCGCCATCTGGTGGGCAGAAAATTATTAGCCCTCATTGGTGGTTTGTTTTTCTTTGTTTTCTTCCTCGTCCTCATTGAGATGAGCCAAATTCAAAAATAATCGATAGGTCTGTACATTTATGTAAGCAAACGACAGGTCTATGATGTTAAACGCTTCATAGAGAGTAGGGAAGCCCGAACTTTAAATTACTGCATGTTGCAGGCAAGATACTACGTAGGTCACTCAATAAGTTTTGAGATCCTCGAAATTTAAAAATGAAACGCACCCGTGTTATATGTTTCTAAAAATCAAATTTATTTAAAAATAAAACTCCATAAGCCAATTACTCAATATTAAAAAAAAAACAAAGTTCTATTAATTTTCCTGCAACGCTTCCCGCGCTTTTCATTTAAAACGATGGATCTTAACCGTGAACATTTGCGCGCTACGATATACCTATTATAATTTTCAATTTGGTTTAACCGAACAATTAAGTTTACAACGGTTACAATCAGCATTAGGGGACTCAGTTCCATCAACAATTTTTAGGTGAAACCACCTAGAAATTGTTGATGGAACTGAGTCCCCTAGAGGAGTCACAGACAAGGTTGGCTACATTTTGAAGCGAGCTTCTATTAAAACATACTTCAAGCCGCTGAAAAAGATTAGTCAATTTTTACCATCCGTCAAGTCTAGTAATATCCCTCTACAAGATGCAGGAGTGTACAAGCTTGATTGTGAATGTGGTCTCTCTTACATAGGACAAACAAAAAGATCCATTAAAACCCGCGTGAAAGAACATATAGCTGACGTGAAGCACCGACGCTCTGGGAAGTCTGCAGTCTGTGAACATGTTCAAGATCGCCTCCGCCATTAGGTACATCAGATATGATAGACCACAAATCCTCGCAAAAGAACACCGATTCCTACCAAGGATGATACGCGAGGCTATTGAAATTAAAAAACTCCCAATTTCATTAGAGAAGATGGATGGGTGCTGCCATCTGCTTGGGATCCTATAATTAACAAAATTAAATCCAAACCCAAGCATACCACTGCTAGACTTCAAGATACTGTAACTTCATTCTGCGAAATTGAACCAAAAATTAATATTAAAAAACTGAAGGTAGCCGGGCTAACTGTGACATCGGGACGTCAAACATCTCAGTCCCCCCGTGAACATGGGTTGCTGTAAAGCACCCAAAACGTCGGGAATTAAAATAGTAAAATTAAACGCGATAAAATCCGTAAAAGCATAGTTTTATTCAATGTGTTCGCGTAAATATAAGAAATCGTTATAAAAAGTTTTATTTATATTGTAACTAAGAAAGTTTTAGGACCTTTAGAACAGTATTTGTGATTCGAAAACGGAGTTTGTTCTCAAGTATTAAAGTTCACATTTGTACCTATGAATTGAAGTAATTTGAAATTCTTCCTGCTCCTCGATCACGCCATAGAATACAATTGTTTCCAACTGCTGTAAAAGTGTAAAAGTATATAACTGACTTAGGAATAAGCAATGTGAGTTATTGACAGATGTAAGAAATTAATATTTAATTATTTACCTAATTATATATATAATTCATATATTTCTGGGGGCACGGCAGTGCCCCCGCCAAGTCGAGCAAAAAAGCGGCACGGCCGTATCATCCTTTTCTCGAAGCAGTTCAGGTCATTTTCGAAACCCTATAACGTCGTTGTGGATAAAACTAGAAGCCTGAATTTTCAGCAACCAAATAGGAATTGTATAAACTCGGTATATTTCAAATTTCATTCAATTTGAACCAGTAGTTTAAGAATTATAACTAGTCAAAGTTTCTTAATTTTGTCACTCACTGACTGACCGATCATCAAAACTCTAAGGCACTTCTAGGAGACATAGAAGCTTCGAATTTGGAACACAATTGTTGTTTAGTATATAAATCAAGAAAAAATTTAAATATTTTGCAATTTCAGTTCAGTTTTTGAGATACACCAACTGCATAAATAACTTTGTAATCCCATATAAATATATAGGATTACAAAGTTATATTTGCTGCGAATGAATCAGTGTACCTATATATGTATAATATAATGGAATAATAGGTGTAGATAGGTATCTAGATATAACTATCTACAAAAAGAAATGAGATGCAACCAAAAACATAACTTGTAAGGCGCCCTCCACATTCGCGCCGTGAACACCCGTGAAAGCCGCGAACCGCGAATGTGGATGGCTTTCGCGCCCGTTCACGGGCTTCGCGCCTGTTCACGCCTTGTTCCCCGTTCAGTGTCGGTATTTTACGCTGCTTCAAAGGGTTTACGAGGCGCGAACCTCCCGCGAAAGCAAGCGCATCCACACTCGCGCGTGAAATCAGTAACGCACGAGACTCGGTGCCGGGAGGTTGTGCTTATTTGTATTTGTTTACGGAGGACGGTGCGTCAAAATGAGCGTCAGTTGGACGAACGAGCAAGAACTCATGTTGATCGAGTGTCTTCATGCCGAACCCATTTTATGGGATGCTAAACATAAATACCATAAAAATAAAATGAGAGTACATGACGCATGGATGCGAATAAAGGAAATAATGAATATTGAAGTGACTGATTTAAAAAAAAAAAAAGAAAATCTAATGTCCAGTTATAGGACTTATAGGAAAAAGGTGAAGGATTCCGTAAACAAGTCTGGAGCAAGTAGCGACGAAATTTACAAGCCCATTTGGTTTGCCTTTGACGCAATCGATGCTTTTCTAAGAGAAAGCGATCATTGTAAAAAAACTACAAATACGGTTAGTATGTTTTATTTGCAATTTATTATTGATGTCAACATGTAAAGATTATGAGGAAACACTGCGTATTCTTTTTTTTTTAATATAATCTAAACAAAGTTTTTAGATGTTCATTTCTCTTTTAATAATTAATTTATGGAAATAAGGAAACACAGGGACATGCCAATAGTGGCCATAGATTTTTTTGAAAAAATTGCTCTACTGGCATTATCCAGGTAGGAAACAGGGGACTACGTTTGTATGGAAAAACGGCCGTGGTGTTTCCTGTTAAGGCAGGTTTTGTTGCTGGCTTAGTGCAAAGAAGTAATTAGTGAATTCTTCTCTTATTTCTCTCGCATTCGAAGCCGGTCGACGTGGTACGTGTAGCAAATCACGAACAGCAGAATTGCTTTCCAATTCTTGTCTCCACGTACCGGGGTGTGTGAGTATGTCATTGTTATCATATATGTCGATGGTCCCCGGCGGTGTATATATTGGTAACGAAGTATTGCTTTTTCTGAGATAATTGTGCAACAATATACAAGTCATTGTAATAAGAGAAACCTTTTCTGGGCATAGCTGAAACGGTTTTTTAAACACACGAAATTTTGTCACAAGTATTCCGAATGTATTCTCTACAACAACACGTGCTCGTGACAATGCCTGGTTAAATATACGTTTTGGAGAACCATACTCATGGTTGCCTGGATAAGGTTTCATCACATGATCTGTAAGTGCAAAAGCACCGTCTCCCAAAAATACGTACGGTACATCGACATTCGAGCCAGGAAGAGGGTTTGGTTCAGGAATATTTAAAGCATTTGTGCAAATTTTTTGCCATAGCAAGCTATTTCGAAATACTCCGCCATCACTTATCCTGCGTTGAGAACCAATATCTGCAAAAATAAAATTGTAACTGCTGTCCACCAATGCTAGCAACACTATGCTGAATGTTTTTTTGTAGTTATAATACTCTGATCCTGAGTTACTTGGACATTCTAAAGTGATGTGCTTTCCGTCTATGGATCCAATAGCACGAGGATATTTACGAGCAAATCCATTTTCGATATCTAGCCATTCTTCTGCGGTTGATGGAATCTGTAAAATAAAAAATAAATAAATGTTATAATTGTTTTTTTACTTTTATTTTCAGGAGGAAGAATCAGTTGTTGACAATAAAGAGGTCAAAGGACAACAAGATGTACAAAGTCCAAATGACCAAAAAAAGTTACCACAAACAATCCGTCGGCGCAACAATCCACCTGAACTCCAAGATGCTGGCAAAGTTGACAAGATGCTCTTGCTACATTAAAATCGACCATCAATAGGAGAGAATCCCAGTCCGACCAAGATGATGTTTATGACCTATATGGTAAAATGTTGTCCAAAAAAATAAAGACCTTACCTGAAGATGACAGATTACATTTCATGTATGAAATAGACGGCATATTCCTACGCTACCAACAAAATAGTCGAAATCGATACAACAGATTTTCAAATAGCCCAGCTCAGTCTACATCAAGTGCGTATGGGAGACCTAGCACATCACGCTCAACGTATTCCGAACACCAATCTCCGCCTCCATCTGCTGCGTTATATGGTAGACCTAGCACATCTCATCCAATTTATTCCGAACATACAATGAATAATTCGCCATCTCCAGTCAATCACAATTCTGATTATAATACATACACTGGATCTAGAGTTATAGTAACATCGAATGAAGTTGTAGAACCTCCAGTCATTCACATTCCTCATTGTAGCAGAAACACTGGTTCTAGAGTTATGATAACATCCAATAAAGTAATAAAATCTAGAGGCATTCACATTCCTGACTATAGCACAAACACTGATTCGAGATATATGGTAACATCCAATGACGTAGAATCTCCAGCCACTCATTATATAGCAAACACAGAGACTCCATATGAAGTGACAGAAGATTTACAGACTGAATTTGGAAATGTCATTAATAAAGCATTTCATCTTGCCTAACTGTAAGCCAAAACGTTGCTACTTTTCTGGTGTTCTGATGTTTTATTTTATTAGGATTGATCTCAGAATAAGTACAGACAAGTGCATGTCAAGCTTTACTCTTTCAGTTCTATTCTAACTATTATTACTTATGGCATAAGAAAACTGTACATATTTTAAAGTGTAACTTGCCGTGCTCTTGACATAATCAAGATAATTATGATTCTCTTTTGATATTTAGTTATTGGAGGTGCTGCTTTTAAGTTAATTCAGTTATGATAATAAGTGATTGTTTCCATTTTGAATAAATGAACACGATTTTATGTAAAATTTTATTTTATTACCTTAATTTCCTCCTTCAAGACTTGATTCAAAGCCAAGCATACTTCAGGTATGATCTTCGAAATTATGAGGTGAAATTTTGAATAAGAAATGCAAGCTTTCGTAATTATCTCCAGAAGCCAAGAATCTTAACGTGACAGCGAGACGCACTCGAGCTGGAATTGCTTCTCGCAGTTGAGTATCTCGTTTCATAATCACTGGTGAAACCTTATTTAGTAAGTACTCGAAATCTTCTAAAGACATTCGAGTAAACTTTTTAAATTCACCAGAAGGTTCGGCAACTAATTCCATCAATTGGTTTTCCATAGTCAAACTGCAACAAATAAAATGACCCTATTTAACTCGTTTTGTATGCAATAAAATAGTACTGTCAAGTGCATGTCAAGCTTAACACTTGCGGTATACTTGCAGTCCCGTTGTGTAAAAGGTTGATATGCTTTTTGACAATGGTGTCGATTCGGATAGCGAATGCTTTAACTGAATCTCTTAACTTTAAAATTAGTTTAGTCCTGCAATTAAAACCACGTACAGTTTTTTTTTTATGTCTGACAGGATTAAACTAATTAACCGATTCGTTGCGGCACCAATTTTCGACAACTTTTATCTGTGGCGGCAAACAAATATATCATGACACGCCTGGCGTGTCACCCGCACTGAACCGGTTAAACAGTTCTTTCAGGCCACATGAATGGACACTGTTATCATAATATGTAGGTACCACATACCTTGTTCTGTTGCGATGTATCTTTGTCATCCACCATCTTCGTCTTCTCCATTTCTTTTTTATTTTTTTTTTATCTTTTATATATACGTAATTGTAGTGAGCCAAAGCGCATAGCGTCACGGCGATGGCAGTGCATATTTCGGCGTCCATTCTTGACGAGCCCGCGAACTAAACTGTGAAGTGTGAACGATAGCGAATGTGGAGGGACATGTTTTTCGCGACTATTTCGCGGCAAAATTACGGCGTGAATTCACGCCGTGAATCACACAGGAGTGTGGAGCGCTAATAAAAAAAACCAAGTCTCGCAACTCAGTTCTACAGTAAAAAGTTGTGAGATCCATATAATACCAAGTCGGTTAATTTATTCAGTCCTTACTTAAGGGTCCTTCTGTCTTAAGTTATTACGTAATTAGCTAACCTAACAACATCTTATAGTGACCATATGAATATTAAAAATCTTTTATATTTTAAATAAATAAATTGACTTGCCAATCGCAGTAAACAATCTTATTTAATATAATATTTATTACATGAGAGATACATTATGTATTCATGCGATTGGCCATCGCATGAAAGCATAATGTATCTCTCAATCTATTTATTTAAAATATAAAAGATTTTTAGTATTGATGTGGTTACTATAAGATGTCGTTAGGTTAGCTAATCTATCTATACATATAATAAAACTGTAAATAGCAGATGTCTGTACATTTTATATTTTTGTAATAAAAGTGATTGAGGGGTACTAAAAATAAGTAATTAAATACATTTCTACCATTTTTAGAATTTTCTGTCTGTCTGTCTGTCTGTCTGTTTGTTTGTTAACGTATCACGTATAAAGTACTAATTTATATCATAAGAATTGTTAAGGAAATTATAAAGTGTATCTTCGGGTTACATTTAGTCTTTATTTCATTAAAATCAGTTCATTCCATCAAAAGTTATGATAAATATTCTGAAGTATGGGTAGGGAAGTATAGGTACGAATTTGCTCAACGATGGCTTTGTTTGAGTCATCAGGTGCATTTTAAACTAATATCATATCATAAATCATAGTTAAATTATGTAAAATAATGATATAATTATGTATATCTAAAACGCAGTAAACAAAAGTATTTAAAAACGTATTAAATATATTATACAAAAATATATTAACCTTATTAACTAAATCTGAAGCACAATAGTTTTCCCATTTCTTCGATAGATGGTGGTGTTGTGAAAATGTAATGCAATTGCAATGTTTTTTTTTCCTGTAGATGAGTTTTCATATTTACTGCTAATCTTTATTATATTACTCGCTGCCCTACTGCGTGTTGATAAACTCAATTTATTCTTTACCGCCGAGTACTCTATGTGGTAAATCAAATTTTAAAAGAGCTATTAACAAATCGTTGGTTTTGGCGAGAGTCAAACTTTATTTTTTGCTTACTGTGCAGGCACTGATTTATAAGTACTCTTGCGTTTTATATAATGTATCAATCGCGTCAATTAATCTCTTTTATTTTTAGAATTGATGTTAGCAGCGCCATCTCTCTTCAAATATATACATATAATAAAAATGATGATAACATATTGTGTCTCTTTCTGTACATTGTATAGGTATATATTTTGGTGGCTAAAATAATTATGGGGAACTGAAAATAATTAAATAAGAACATTTTAGAATTTTTAGAATTGTCTGTATGTCCATTTGTCTGTTATTATATGAACGCATCACGTCTAAAGTAAACATCTTTTATTTTCAAAGAAATCGTTAAGAAAATCATAAAGCGTATCTTCGAGTTACATTTAATCTTTGTTTTATTAAAATAGGTTAATTCTATCGAAAGTAATGATTATTATTTTGAAATGTAGGTTCGAATTTGTTCAATGGCGCCATAAAATCTCAGAAATAGTAATAAAAAGATTTGTGTGTAAAAAAAAAACGTTCCATAATAATTAATATATTTATACTTAAAACACAAAAAGAGATTTAAAAAGGATGTTTTCTCACACAAAGGACGTAATAGATGGAGTTGTACAAATT